CCCCCCCCCCCCCCCACACTCCATTGCTCCGCCCCCCCCCCCCCCCCACCCCACGACTCTGTGGCCCCCCCCCCCCCCCCCCCAGCATCACATGGCTCTGCAGGGCCCCCCCCATCACATGACTTCAGGAACGTGTCATAGAAAGATGTTTCTGATGATCCGAGACAGAACAGCTGGATCCAAACATTTTGTCCCGGAGCTTGAAAACAAGTCGGGTTTGACCGGGCCGCAGCAGCAGAACCAGAGTTCTGACGACCCAGCTGCAGGTTTGTCTCTCAACTTCAAGACGTCTTTAAAAACTCAGGAAGTGCTTTTACCACGACGGGCCGTGAAGTTTATTTTGGTTCTGTTTGTGGGACAAATAGGATTTATGAGCTGCTGGTTCTGTTCCACGCTGGGAGCTGACCCGGCAGGTCACAGCAGGACCTAAATCCTCTGATGCAACGTTTCCTGTGAACGCTCAGATTCTAAAGTTCTGCGGCAGCTCGAGCAGCCAGAAGCTGTGGTCCTGCAGCGAGTTCAGCTACAAACGCTCGGGATCGAAACAAACAACAACATTTTTACAAAATACCTCTTAAATAAAGTGCGTGCCACGGCTCTGCAGCATCGGGACATTATCTGGTCCATGCCAGGTCCTAGATGGACAAACTCTTTATTGTGTCTTTATTTAATTTATTCATTTACCAAAAACTGAAAATGTAAAAGAGCTGAGAAGGGTCAAAGCTCCATCGTTCTGCAGAGTATTTACAACTGGAAAACACTTAGGACAGCTAACAACCTTCACAGCAGACTCACCCTGAAGGTCAGACTGTGCAGTGCTCTATAGATTAAACAGGCCTCAGTTAGCAGGGCAAAGGGCAAAGGTCATGCCTTGTATGTGAGGACTGCAGCAGAAAGCCTCTTCTGTCTACAAACAACATAAGATAACGGTCATTTTTTATGAGTACGATGTGCATCAAAAGAAAATGAAGCAGTTTCAGCTCGTCGTAACCGCACCGTTAAAACTTGTAGGGTTTGTGAAGGATTGGACCCAAACACAGACTGACAGGGGAGCTCAAAGGTTAAACTAATAAAAAACATTATTTTAACAAACTAAAGGCTGATGTGGCAGAAAAGACTAATACAAAAACTCCAACGATCACAGAGATCTTTGTGAACTTCACATCTGTCTTCATCACCATGATCCCCCAAACCCTGATGGACAAACTACTCACACTAGGACTAAGCCCCTCCATTTGCAACTGGGTCCTGGAGTTCTTAACAAACAGACCACAGTCAGTGAGGATCCACAACTTCTCCTCCTCCACCATAACCCTCAGCACTGG